AGTGGGCTCAGGTGGGAGCTGAAAGTAAGAGTGGATACCAGCCACGAGGTGCACCAGGCACCTGGACAGTGAGAGAGCAGAACAACATTGCCCCCTGAAGCTGACCCACGCTTTTGAGAAACTTCCTTTCCAGTCTGTGTACCATAGAGCTTTGCCTCTAGCTCTTCAGTGTTCTGAAATGGCCCGATCTGTGAGATGCTTTGTCCTGGGATCTGTTTTTTTAGGGTATCTTGTTCTTAGACTCCAAGTGCACACTAGTGTATCAGATGCTTGTGGAAACCCTACTGTAAAGAATCTACTTACCTCTCCCCCGTCCAATCTCTTAAATGTGTTTGAGTGTAGCATCCCTTTCCCTTATAATGGCTAGGAGCAACACACACTGATGTAGTGTGATATATAATATCTAATAAGGCAATTTTAGAGAGTACATGTAAAAAGAGAGTGAAGGGAAAGAGACAAGAGACAGTTTCGGGTGTATGAAGGAGAATCCCGCCCCCTCCCATCCTTGCTGCTGAAAATAGCCCAAATACCTTTAGGCTCCAAATTGCTATTGGCTGGATTAGTTGAAGCGATGCATGAGCAGATAAGGAGTGGGGTCAGTCACGCCACTGGCTCTTCGCTAGGGCCTGCTGGGATGCTGGCCTTACCCCTTCACCTGTCAGGATGCTTAATTGATCATTCCTTTTTTTTTTTTTAAGATTATTTATTTATTTATTTGACAGAGAGAGACTCAGTGAGAGAGGGAACACAAGCAGGGGGAGTGGGAGAGGGAGAAGCAGGCTTCCCGCCGAGCAGGGAGCCCGATGCGGGGCTCGATCCCAGGACCCTGGGATCACCGCCTGAGCCGAAGGCAGACGCCTAACGACTGAGCCACCCAGGTGCCCCTAACTGATCATTCTTAAAGCTAACCTATGGAAAGGTGAGTCTTAGTTTCTCTCCAGGATTAAGAACAAGACCAGAAAAAGGGTTGGATGGAATATTTCCCAGCAGATTTATTACTAACCCCACACGCAAACCAACAGTCAAGCCAAGGGATCTTAACAACTGAAACTTTGCTGGTTGGGCACGCGCTGATGCTTAGGATGAATTCCTCTCACCACTGGCCCAGGAATCAAAAGGAACCAGAGAAAAGGTTAGTTCAGAGAACATTTTGATATTTTGGAATTTTTTTTGAAAGTTTAGGCTTTTGTAGCCCCAAATGGTTCCGGGGCAAAAAAAAAGTTATTAGCTTTATGTGCAGAAAAACAATATGTTATACTCAAGCTTATGGTTTACCAGTAAGTAAGCTGGCTAGATCTACAATACAGGCACTGTGTGTAATATTCATTTCACATGGAAGCTCTATTCAATTGAGTGCAAGTCTATTGACAAGGGTTATCTAATTTGTTAATGTAACTGCTAAGCTATAGAGAATATTAATACTGAATTCTGATTAAGTAGACTTTGGGGGGATGACAAACCTGAGCAACTAACAAGAATATATTATTTCTATGCTCCAAATAAATAATGTTAAGCAGACTGGTGTCTGTCTCCATGTAGCTTATAGCGGTATTTGTAGTAAAAAACAAATGAACAAACAAAAAACAGATGTTTCAACCAAAGAACACACACACACAGAGAAGGATGAGGATTCTTTGAGTTTCCCTTATGCTTGATTTATTATCTCATGATATCCTATGTTTCATGAGAGGAAGCCTAGGAGGGAGGATGGTGAGGGCGACATGGACCCTGGAATCAGAGAGACCTAAGGATCAGTCCCACCCCTGCTTAGTCATGTTATAGCCTTGGGCAAGTTACCCAACCTCTCTGAGCTTTAGTTTCTTCAGAGAATTCTTATTTCATTGGGTTCTTGGGAGGAGTGAACAGGGTAATGTGTATCTGGTATGCAACAAGTCCTCAGTAAATAATAAATATTTTAATGGCCAATATATTGGACAAAGATGATAAAAGATGGAGGGTAGGTATGGGCAAGAGGTTTAAGGAATTGGATGTGAACCTGGAAAGGAAGGAATCAGGTAGAAGGCTAAGAAAATAATGTTAGAGTTTTGAAAACCTGCAGAGTTATTAGATGAAGCATTGGTTAATTCGAACACCCTATATTTTCTAAATCTGGTATATTCTTAATCTTCCTAAGTGGAATGCTAAATTACTTAGTATGGTTTGGTAAAAGTAGCAGTGGTGGGTGGGATCAGGAGTCAGCAGACCTGCCTTTTATGAAATTCTCAGTGTTCAGAAAATAACACATCTGACACATATGCAAGGTTATTTTTTGTAGCACGGTTTCAAACAGAAAAAGTTTGGAAACAATGCACAATGTTCAATCAATTAGGTGGATCATTCATTTACCAGAATATTATGCAACGCTAAGGAATATTCAGTTACCTCTTATTAAAATATGAAAAGATATACAAGATTTTTATTTTTTAAAAACCAAAGATCAAAGCATTGCATATAATATTTTACTTCTTGAGTATAAAGCTGGGAGAATTAGTATCTCTCTCTATTTTTTTAAAGATTTTATTCATTTATTTGACACAGAGAGAGAGACAGTGAGAGGGGGAACACAAGCAGGGGGAGTGGGAGAGGGAGAAGCAGGCTTCCCGCTGAGCACAGAGCCTGATGCGGGGCTCGATCCCAGGACCCTGGGATCATGACCTGAGCTGAAGGCAGATACTAAACAACTAAGCCACCCAGGAGCCCCTAGTATCTATATTTATATTTGCTTACATAAACCTAAGGAAGCTGGATGGACATAGAAATTAAGAAAAGTGGTTTTTGTGGGGCAGAGGCTGGGAAGACCCAGAAAATGACAGATAAGGACTGTATGCCATTTTATACTTGCTGGCTTTTTTTTTTTTTTTTTTGAGCCAGGTTTAATTTCTATTTAAAAAATAAGTTAAAAAAAATTATGGGGGCGCCTGGTGGCTCAGTCGGTTAATCATCTAACTCTCGGTTTTGGCTCAGGTCAGGATCTCAGGGTGGTGAGATCGAGCCCTGCTCCGCGGTCAGTGGGATGTCTCTCTCTCCCTCCCTCTCTCTCTCTCTCTCTCTCTTTCTCTCAAATAAATAAATAAATAAATAAATAAAATCTTTTTAAAAAAGTTAAAAAAAATTTAAATGCTTATAAAAATGTGAATGCTTTAAAGGGGTGTTATTCATAATTTGACATTAGGAATCAGATTGCTTTATCCTGACACTAACCTGAGGTCAGTTCAAATTAAGAAGGATTGAGTTTTGATTTGTGAAAGAGGCTTGAAGAGGGAACAGGGTCCCTTTTGGAGCATCATATATCCCAAGGATCAGAGTTAGAGGTGGGGTACATTATGAGAGGATTTAGAGTCTAAATTGTGTCCTGGGGTACCGGAGCAGTGGGAGGCAGGTCAGGATGCGGGGAAAACAGAGAGAGAGGGCAAGGATCCACTCTGCCTACTAGGTGGTTTTGCCTGGGTCCCTCGGAACTTGATTGCACTGAAAGTCAGCTAGGGAGCTGACCTTGCCAGAACCATGGAGCAGGAAGACTTCATGAGCATTTCAACAGCACAACACCAGACAGCTAGTGACCGCCACCCAAACCTGGGAGCTGAGTGGAAATAAAAATGAAAATAAAGATGGAGCATTTCCCTGGTCTGAAGTTAGAGCCACAAATGGAGGCTATGATAGCTAATTTTTTATCCCAGGCACAGAAGAACTAAGGGAAGGGATCTTTTAGAAGTTTTCACAAAGGTAACATTTCTGAGTTAGGGACCAGTATTAACATGAGAAGGTGACAGATGAGGAGGACACAAGTGTAATGGCCGAATCTTTCTAGAAGACGGATGATTGTGGCGTCACTTCAAATGTGCTTTCTACATGATAGATTAATGGGAGGTTGGATCACTAATCTGTTAATCAACAGCAAGACTATTGATCTATTGCATGATGATGCATTGCAAATGATATACTGCAAGATGCTTTTGCAGAGCTGGAAAAGAAAAACAACCTTTATACCTAGAACTTCTTTAATTAGACCATAGATTTATAAGAAAAAAAATATGTCTAATGAAGTGGTGTGGTCCCTATTCCATTATGTATAAGCATCTTTTCTCCACCTTCCCGAGAATAAACAATAACTTCACACTATTGGCCTAAAATATTAATCGTTTCAGGCATAAATGAGCTTCTGTTGTCACTGTGTGGGGTTACCAATCTTTACCAAATCATTCAGCATCAAATTTTAGCATGTGCCATAGGATTGTCACATCTCTGGTAGGAAATGAAACTATTTTCCCCGAAGGAGACTAATGTGCCCCTTTGTCTGGCTTATGGTCCTAGTTCTGTGCTATTTGAGGAATCAGCAAAGTTCAGAAAACTTTATACTGAGAAATAGAAAACAGCTAACATATAAAACAGAAAGTGGCATTTCGTGAGCTCTGCTCATCTTGTTTGAATATTGGGCCTAGGAAACACGTGATGACTCTTTGGACATTGAAAATCACTTGACATTTTGGGCTGGATACTTTGTTTCGAGGAGTTGCTGTCTGCAGCGGCAACCTTCAGCAGCCTCGCTGGCCTCTGCCCGTCGTGACAGTCAAAACTGCCTCCAGACGCTGCCAAATGTCCCCGGGCATCAAAATTGACCCAGTTTGAGAACCCCCAACTTAGAGGTTTACTCATCTTTCTAACTCTTTTGTGGTAGTAAGGGTAACACACCTCAGCCTCATTCAACAGAAATGAAACCCAGCTAAGGATGTAAATGAAAGCAAAACCATTTATCAATCAAATGGATATATTTCCCCCCACCCCCAAAGGCAGCCCCTGAGGCATTTTCTCGCAGAACTAAGGATTTTTACCTCTCAGACCTCCCACGCCAAAGGAAAAAAAATTGCCAAAGAAAAGAGGCCACATACACAGGAGTACCAGGGATGGACTCATTCCTTGGTATAATTTCTCCCCCCAGAAGTTCAAACAGCCCTCTGCAGTAGAACAGAACGTGTTAACTCGTGAACGAGAAAAGAACTCACTGTTTCCAGAAGCGGCTTTTCGGAATTTCGTCAGGTCAACGTGCGGGGGTCTGCTGGGTTTTGGCGGCGGTGGGCCCAAGGTAAACAAGGGAGGCAGGGGCTTCTGCTTGGGGGTGGCTACATTCTTGTCTCCCTTTTCCTTGTCTTGACTTTGGCTCCAGGGCCCTGTCACTGTCACCTTAGAAGGCATCTTAGGGAACTTGGCAGGAGGAGCCCCAGAGGCTGGCTCTTCCTGATTCATTTTGTTCAGGAAGATGTTCTTAGCAGCATCTATCTTCCTATCTTCTCTTTTCTCTTCAGCATTTCTGGAGAGGCCTGGGCTTCCTCTGTTCGCAGCAGGTTTCAGAACCACCCCAGAAAAGGGCGAACTGGACATCTCGCCTCCGTGGTCTTTAGTTTCCTGGTCTTCTCTTGCTGGTTTTAAAGGGCCGGTTTTGGCCTTGGTTCCTAAGGGACCTGGGGCTCCTTTCTGTAGAGATGCATTCTTGGTGGGGCTCTCGTCTTCATGGGTGTCATCAGGACTCAGGGATGGCTTCTGGCCAAAGACGGGCTTGGGAAAGAGGGGCTTGTGCTCATGGTCCTGTGTGGCCGACACAAACTTGCCTTTAACCCCAGCCAGCTTGGGGAATGCTTGCTTCTGCTCAGCTTCCGGGGCTGGAGGATGAGACCCTGGCTTGGGGCCGGGTGGTTTTAGGTCATGGTCTTGGTTTACACTGTGAGGCGAAGGCTTATTCCCAGGGGGCCGGGGAAACACAGGTTTGGCATCTTCCTTGGGCACAGTGACGACCTTGGGGCCTAGAGGTTTCGGAAATCCCACTTTTACCTCAGGGTCTCTGGTGGCCGAGTTTGCCTGCGGTCCAAATCTTTGGCCCACTCCCGTCGGCTTTAGAAATGGGGGCTTGGGCTCCTTGTCAGGCTTTTCCTCAGACGTAGGTTTCACCGCCAAAGGTGGCTTTGGGGACCCAAACTTAGGTACGTTGCTAGGTCCCGCAGGAGGGCTGGCACTTCCTTGGTTGTCAAAGAGATTCTTTCTTGCTTGTACTCCTGAAGTCGAGTTTTGCCCAGGGACTTTGAAGGGGCGGTTGCTGACAGAGACCTCTTCCGTGGGGTTGCCTCCTGTGTTAAACTTTGCCATGAGGGACTTCACATCTGCTTTTGTATCCTACAAGCACAGGGAACAAAAACTAGTTGAGAGCCAGAAGTCCTAATTGCACAATTTAAAATACTGCACTCTGGAGGGCTTCCTGGTTTGAGGCCTGCCTCGTCACTGATTGGTTAGGGAACATTGTAACATTTATCTTCCTCTATGGCAAAATAGTCTGTGAGAGTTTCTTGAAGGGGGAGGGCTATTGTTGCGCATATACTGTTTCAGCTTTTTTTTTTCTTTGCTTGTCTTACACTGACTTGCTTATTTCTGTTTAAGTGACACTTTACCTTTTCTTTTCTTTCCCTCACTGTTTCTCCAACTCTTCTGTTGGATTTACCCTTCCTTCACTTGGCATTTACCTACTTTGTTTTACTTGAAGAAAATATGGAAGTGGCTAATAATGGACTTCTTCCATATTTTACAGTTAAGCCTCTTAAATAGAAACTATACTTGAAAAAATGAAAGTAAGTTCCTCTGTAAATTCAGGTTGTATGCTTTCCACAGCATGGCCACGTTTAACAGCTCTGTGGTTTGCAAGAGCTCTCCTGTTCCCATCTGCAGTTAAGGTGCGTCTGCCTGCTAAACAGGGGATGTGGCAGAAAAAGTCACTTATTTGAATAAGTAAGTAATAAGTGAGTTTTCCTACTTATTTATAAATATTGAGTGCTGCTGATTCAACTGGAACCAGATGAGCATGCAGAATGTGCTCACCTTCCAGACTGGTCCTGTCTTGGGGGCACAGGCTGGGGAAAGTGAAAGAGACTGGCTGGGAAGTCTCGTGACCAGCCTTCTTGCTTCTGCAGTCTCGTCTCTTTTATAAGGACATGTACTACTCCTTCTTGTAAGTCCTGCTACACAGTCTCTGTCCTCGACTAGAATTAGGATGTTACTCAGTAAAGACAGCGGGCAAATAGTCACCCTTCTCTGTGAAGGTGACTTTCCACTTAATATGGAAACATTCTTGGTGTATTTGCTCTTTCTCTCCAAAGCAAGGATTTGAAATTTTCTAGTTCTTCTAGAAATATTTGAAAATCAGAAGCATTAAAAAAAAAAATCACTGAAGATACACATGTGGTCAAGACAATTTCCATTTTTGTGCTTTAAAATTTGCCTAGAAAATGTTTTCTTTCTTCCCACCACCACCTATCTGGCCACACACCCAAATACATTTTACCTTTTGAGACCCCAAAACCACAAAACCATAGCATGGGCTCAATATATGGAAACTATTATTATTAGAAATATTAAGTAGCATATTCAAGGGCTCACAGCCAGGAACTGTGACACAGGGATGCACAGCCAGGTGTGTCTAGGGCTCCAAAGTCCAGAAAGGGTCTCATTCCTTTTTGTACCCCCACAACACCTGGACCAGGGCCTGGCATCTTCAGGCTTCTAATGCATATTTGGGGAAATAAAACTTGGCACTGAGCTGAATACTGTGAATAGCAATTTAAAAGAAATGGTGCCCTCAGCTGGAGTTTTTCTTTGTACCACACTGCAGTGCCCGTGTATTTGCAGGATGGGAGAAAGGGACTTAAGGCACTAGAAGAAAACCAGATGAGAGCAGCATTTTCCAGCTTGAATTTTGTTCCTTTAACTTACTACCCTATCTGCAAGTTGCTGAAAACATCTTATTTTCTACCTTGTCTTCCTTGAACACCTTTTTTTTTTATCCCCATGATTTCCTCCAATCCTCAAACAATCCCTAAAGGCAATAGGCAGGAAGATGGCAGAATAGGGAGAGTTTGGGTGGTGGGGGAAGGAAGGGGAGAAGATGGGTCCTTCCCTGAACCCTCCCAAGGAGATCACAGCTTCAGAGAGCTCCAAAGCTTAACACAAGGTGCATAAAGAAGTATTAATACAAAAATTTTCTCTCGGGGCGCCTGGGTGACTCAGTCGGTTAAGCATCTTCCTTCGGCTCAGGTCATGATCCCAAGGTCCTGGGATCGAGCCCCGCATCTGGCTGCCTGCTCAGTGGGGAGTCTGCTTCTCCCTCTCCTCTGCCCCTCCCCTTCCTCATGCTCACACACTCACTCTCTCTCAAATAAATAAATAAATAAATAAAAATAAATTTGCTCCCCACATGTAAGAAAGTCTGTCTCCAGGGAAGAACTCTTTTATTCTGGACTTATTCTATATTTTGCAATTTATATTCTAGATCTGTAATTTATTCTAGATTTATAACAAGAGGCTACATTGCAGAGTAGTTAATAACGCAGACTAGGGAGTCAGACTGCCTGGGTTTGAGTCTTACTAGCTGTTTAACCTAGGGCAGTGTACAAATTCTCTGGACCTTGGTTTGCTCACCTCTGTCATAGGGATCAAATGCCGTGTCATGGGGCTGTTAGGATGATGAAGCTAATCTCTGGAAGGCACTCCCAAAAGTGCTCGTAATGTAAGAGGTTTTCCTAATTTTATACAGCAAGGGAAGCCTTAAGAATCATCTGGCCCTCTTCTGTCACTACACTGGAGAGGAAACAGTAACCAAAGGATTAAAGCAAAAACCTACGTAGTTACAGCAACTTCTTGTCTTGGATTTCATGGGGGAAAACCCATGAAACACACTAACCCATTGACAAACTCCACATCCTGGTTTTAATTTAGAAAATATGGAAGTGGTCTATTTGGAATTGCAACATAAGTTTCTTAGCTGCCCACCCAGACCCAGGAGGCAAGGTAGCGTCATGGTTAATAACCCAGGCTCTAGAATTATCGACTTGGGTTCAAATCTTGACTTTGCCATTTACTGGCTACATAGCCTAGCAAGTTTCCTAACCTCTCTGAGACTCAGTTTTCTTCATCTGTAAAATGAGAATAATAACAGTACCTATTTTTCCACAGGATTTTGTTCTTAAGTCAGGATTAAATGGGTTAATGCATGTAAAGTTCCTAGGTTAAGAATTACATGTACTATATATCCAAAGATTGTCTGCCAACATCGTTTTTTCTAATTCACTATTCACATAACATCATTTTCTCCAGGTGACCAAATTCTTAAGTTATAATTGTTAATATTACGTTCTAATTTTATTTATTTATTTATTTATGAATTTTTGAGTATAGTTGACATGCAATGTTACATTAGTTTTTGGTGAACAACATAGTGATTTGGCAAGTTTATACATTATGCTACATTATGTTCTAATTTTAAATCAATGTGACTGAAACAAACATACTGCTAGATAACATAGTGGAGTTACTATGTTTGAGTTTGGTTTACCTACACTTCAAAACTTTTCACTGAATGTTGGAAGGCAGGGAAAGAAATAGTAATACATTCTTATGTAGGACACTTTGAAGAAATGGGAGCAGCCCCTGAGCTTACACTAATATGTCTGGCAAATCAATAGCCCAAACTCTACAACTATGTGACCACTTATTCTGACTGCTTAGCTTTAGAAATTGTTTCATCATTTTCATTGTTACAAGTTTATTGGACCAAATTTTCAACATCCAGATTTGCCCTTAATCTTAACAATAATAGCTAGATTTCTTTCATAATGATAAGGATAGAAAGGAAAAAAAGATTAAAAAATTTTTTTAACATTCTCCCGTTTCATTGTAGATTGAATAGCCATTCCATTTTCCAGGGTTCTTTTTACTTTTAAAGAAAGTTAAAAAGAGGGGCGCCTGGGTGGCTCAGTCGGTTAAGCGTCTGACTCTTGGTTTTGGCTCAGATCATGATCTCAGGGTCGTGGGAATTGAGCCCCATGCTCAGCGTGGAGCCTGCTCGAGATTCTCTCTCCCTCTCTCTCTCTGTCCCTTCCCCCTTGGCCCCTTCCCCCTCTAGTGCACTTCCTGTCGGTCTTTCTCAAATAAAGAAATAAATCTTAAAAAAACCTTAGAAAGAGTATAGGAGCCATGTATCATTGTATGATAGAGTGAAAATTCAGTCAACTCTAAGCCTTGAAACTCTTAGCCCTATTGCCCCAGTTCTAGGGGTATCATATATCCTGACTTACCAGTATAGGACAAGTTTATGCCTATTGTCCCAGAAGAACTATTAATAACATTCACATTTACTCTCAAAATTGACCTGCTTTAAACAATAAATTACATGGTGAATTTACCCAGTTCCTCACCAGAGGCAACTACTGTCCTCAGTTTCTTATGTATATTTCTAAGCTGTGCATATACAAATATATATGAACATACACAAGCATCCTTCCTGTCCCAACTTTTTGCACAAGTGGAAACTTCTGCTTCACAGCCTGCTTTTTTCCAGAACTGATATTCAGTTGCTACACACCTGCACAACTGGATATATCATCAGCAACCATTCTGATTGCTCGGTACTTCGTGTGATTCCAGTTGTTAAATATTTTCAATATTAACTCCGTTATTTTCTCTTATAATTGATCCATATCAGTGCATATTATTTGCACAACCTTTTTTTTTTAAGATAGGTTTTATTTTATTTTTTATTTTTAGAGCAGTTTTAGTGAGAAGATAGTACAGAGAGTACTAGTGTACTTTGCATCGACTTTCCCCTTAATAAAACTTGACATTAGTTTGCAGGACCTTTTTAATTCTTAATAATTTTAAAGATTGGGCTTCTGCTTATTCTGAAGAAGAGGTATTTTACATCTGGAAGACCTCAGAGTTCAGGATACTTTAAGTAGATCAAATATTTCATCTCAAATTATTTGTTTCTTTTCCAAAATCATTTGAAGCAATTCATTATTATTTCTGTCTGTTGTGTACCTATATAATGTTTAGCCCAAACTCCTCCCATTCATTGCTCTATAATTGCACAGATGTAATTGTAGAAATGCTCTTGATAGAAATAAATTTCCTTTAGCCTCCATATATTTTTCCTTCCTCAGAATTATGTGCCTTCACTGGCATAAACATCACATTTGCCACAGCCCCTAGGAAGACGGCTGCTAGTAAAAAGGGTTTTGCTACATCCTCTGGGTTTCTAGTTAACAACTCTAGAATCCAGAAAATCTTCCTTTGCTCTTAGCAACTTATATGAAGATAATTGATCAAGTACATACTTAAACAAAGGCTGA